GTCATTGCTGCTGTAAAATAATAATTTTCGAAGTTTAAAAATGTGTTAAAAAGGAACAGAATAGAACAAGAATTGAGCCTGTTATTGCAAAAAAGTAACAATGGGCTGGGGCAAATTTTACTGGTTTTTTATATTTAGAAAAATTTAGAGCAAAGAATCAGTTTCTTTGCTCTGCAATAACTGAATTTTGTCAAAGAAATTCATTTTGGAATATTTTTATACTAATAATTTTATTTTAATTCCCCGACGAAGTTTTTCACCATGATATTATAAAAACCTTGATGTATTAAAAAAAAATGTTTGTAATGTAAATATTTTTTCTTTTGTGTATTTATTTTGTATCGCTGCATTACTGTACTTAGATTATACATGGAGGTATAAAAGGGACTATTGTTTTGTGGAGCACACATCAACATACAGTACTAGGATTTAGTGGCTGAGATTCATGATCTATGCCTTGCCTATGCATCTTTACAGTAGGTTCGTCCTTCAGGGCCAGGCTTCCTGCTGTGCTAAAAGCTCCAACATTAGTTGCCTCTAAAAATCGACCTTGATGATAGCACTGGAATTCAATACCTGTGTTGCATTTGTAGATTATCTTATGAATAAATTGTTAGTGTGTTGAGCCATGGTTGAGCTAAATGGTTGAGCAGAATAAAATAATATTTTTAAATAATATTATTCTATAATACAGTAGTGATATTTTATTCGGTAAAGCACGCCTTTGTACTTCTTATACAAAGCGTAGTCACTATCTCTACACCTGTTCTTTTTTTCTAAATTTTCTTATAATTGTTATTATCAATTGTAAACTTGTGTAGCTAATGGGAATTGTTATTTGTTAGCGGAGTAATTTCAATTATTATATTTATAATGTAAACGAATACAACATTTTTACTTTTCATTGCCTATTGAATTTAGTTACTAATTTCGCACGAATTAAACTGTACAGTATTTAAAAAAATATGATATGTTTAGTTTATACAATGTTGAATTTTTATTTTGTTTAAATATTTAGCAACTAAAGGTTTTCTTGACAGTAACCAAATTACCCAAGGGTAGTGTAAGTATTCATGCATACTGTAGTACCTGTTACTTTACAGGTGTTGATTGGTCAAACTACAATACCTTTAAAGTAATGGAAGTTTCTAAGTCCCTAAAGCTATATATGGTAACCAAGAGCTTGACCAATTGGCACGTTCATTAAAATAAGACTTCATCTATCTAAGCTGTTTTGGGGATTTATGAGATGATGTATACATTAACCACTGACTTTAGGCAATAACAATTAAAGCCTTGTTCCGACTGTGTAAGTTACACCGGTGATATCGTAGTTATCGAACAAGCGCTTGTTATGAGGCTGACACCGACCGTATGAACGGGATCACCTGATAGAAAACAAGCGCTTCACCCCGCAAGCTAACACCGACACATTGAAATGACCGGATTGGCAAGGCTCTCATCCGACAGAACTTTCTGTTAATTAACTTGCCACATGATGACTGCAATAACATCTGTAGCTTGACCATGGTCTCGTTTTCGAGGCATTTCTACTAGGCCTAGTTGGTTCATAATATCAACCAAAGCATCTTTAAAATTACCTTTTTAACTTCAGAATTGTCAAAATAATCCAAATAAAACATCACAGGACAAATTTATATTATTACCGTTCGTTATAAACTTCATATAAATTTTCATGCCTTTTTTGGGCAATCCGCAAAATACAGTGGTAGTTCGTTCGCTGTGTCCACGAACAACGTTCGTACCCACATATTACATTTGGAGGCTCGTGTTAAAAGTCTCCTAAATGTTAATAGGTAGGCTAGTTAGGTGAAAAAAACAATTTAGAGTGTTTTATTTCGGTTTTTCTTGGAATGCTCTACCAAGAGAAGATGTAAACATTAGATGTTAAACGTAGGCTATTTTGCCTTTTATTTGTCGATAGTTGGGATGGCCTACTGCCTAACCAATTCAAAGCAGGCCTAGCCCAGACAGGCCCTCGCCTAATGTAATTTCTGTTTTTCGTCTTTTATCGAAACATTACCATGAGATCAATAGAAATAATTTTAATCTTCAACATTTATATATCAGTTTATAAAGCGCTATAACTATCCGCTATAACTCTCGTGTAGACATACGATGAATGTAGGTAAGAATGGCCCCGGAAAAAATGGCCCCAGAAAAAATGGCCCCGGAAAAAATGGCCCTGGAAAAAATGGCCCCGGTAAAAATGGCCCCATAAGACGGGTAGGTAAAAATGGCCCCAATGAAAAATTTGGTAATAGAAATGATATATTTTTTTTTAAATCTTCAAATATTTAAATACTGTATAAGCAAGAATTGAATCAAGAAATAAAAAATGGCCCTCAATTATAAAATTCAAGAAAAAAAAATAAAATAAAATAAAATAAATAAATAAATGCTGTAAAATACCCTGTAGTGAAAATTTAATTAATAAATCAACATAAAGAATATACATATTTGAGAACTAAAATAAATTAGTTTTTAGCTCCTATGAGTAGCTCTGGGAGTAGGTCTAAGTATTTTTTTAAATTATTAATATTATTAGATATTATTACTATATTTGCGGTCAATTATTATTATTATTAATGGCTCTGATGGGAGGCTCTAAAACATTGATTCGGCACCAGTTTTGAACGACAAACTTGCAGGGAATGTTATAAACCATTTTCGTGAAATTTGAAATAAAAATTTCCAATAACGTGGCGACTACCAACTATGGGGACTTTCAGATGCCTAGCATTTCGCAGTACGTATTACCATGTCATGGATAACATCAACAATAAATCTAAATTGCTAACGAGCACAAACATTTTAAAACAGAAAAAAACACGAAATGTTTATATTGAAAACAAGTCCAAGTATTAAATATCTAT